TATATATAATTGACAATTAATATTATATATTATTATAAAAATTTAAAAATAATTAATATTTCGTTTCATTAATTTAAATTGACGGTTAATCATAAAAGTATTTTATATGTTAATTTAAATTTATATAACAAAGTGTTATATAGTTTTCACATTTTTAAAAAATTTACAAACTTAATTTATACATTAAGAAATTTTAATTTAACTGTTGAATTTTTGAATTTTAATGTAGAATATAAGTTATTAAATAAAATAAGTCTACCAAAACTTATTTTAAAATAAGTGAATCACTTTTCATATATATATATATATAGAGAAGGTTATAATTACATCAGTGTAACTTTTACTAAGTATTACACCACTCAATAATTTTATATTAAATATGAATTTTGTAAATCCAACCGTTAACTAGTGCCAAAAACACAATTAAAATCGGTTAAGAGAAAATCAATTTTAAAAATGACACAATGACATTTTTATAAATAATCTCACCACTTTTAAAATTGGTTAAACTTTAACCGATTTTAAAATATTTTTTAAAATTATTTAAATTTTAATCGATTTTAAAAGGTCTCTCTAATACTACTATTAAAGTCAGTTATTTAAGAATCAATTTTATATATTACATATAATAAACGATTTTAAAAATTATGTAATAAATGAATATACCCATTCCTTTTTCCCTCTTCTCTCTCGCATTTGCTGTTTCATCACCATTCAGGCTCGCGATACTCATCTTCGCTCTCTCACCCTAAACTTTCAAAAGAAAATTTGATCAAGAAGAGTATCTAAAACATGCTTGGGAGTGCGAGAGATAGGTGAGTAGTTTTTGATGTTCTGGCGATGCCAATTTCTACTTTCAATTATTATTATTATTCTACATAATTTTTGTTGGTTAATTTAGTTTGTTTGTAATTTGATTTTGAAAAGGAGGAGGAGGGTGGAGCAAAACCTAAAGGTAAGTCACCCAATTTGTGAGGGGGTTGGAGTTATGTCTGCTTTGAGTTTGAGTAGCGACTAATGTCATCTTGTTGGTGCAGTTAAAAGTCCTCCCGTGCAGAGGAAGTCCTTGAAACATAGAGATTATGAAGTGTAAAATGCAAGTTAAAACTGCAGTTAAATGAACATGCATGGGCAGTTTGGGAGAAAAGATAATGAATCATGGCTGGCATTCGTTGTTTAGTTGGGAAAAATATTATTGAAGGTCAAAATCCTCAGAGATAACGGGTACCCTTCTTCTTCTCCTAATTTCAAACTTTTTTCTTTTTAATTTAATCAACAAAAATGGGTGAAATCACATCATATATATATGGTCAGAATACAAAAAGGTTTGTTGTATTTGTCTTCAAAGTGTGTAGTTTTAATTGAAATTTTTGATCTTGTGTTTGTTTTACAATCAAAATTAATATGGAAAATTCTCCCAGGAAGATGAGGCAATAGAAATTTAGGGGTAAATGGAAGTGATTAATGATTGTGTTTGGATTCGTGAAATCATGAAACTTTATAGTCAAATAAGCTTTTTTTTTTTTGAAGGATTAAAAAGAGAAAAATGGCTATAATTAAATTCTATAGATTTCCAATTTTCTAACATGCATTGGCTTCTTATCTTGTCCATGCATACTGATATTTGAAAGTTTGTGATGCCAATTCAATGCAATTGCTATTGAGTTTGTTATTCACCGAGATCTCTTTATTAATTGACATTCTTCTTTTAATTTCTTTTGGTAGGGTTAGCAAAATGTCACTGATGAATCATTATGTCCAAATCTCAGATTTTTCCTTTAAAATTCATTTTTATAACTTCAAGGAAAGGCCAGATGACTATTTGTTTTTTAATTTTTATTTTTGTTATCATGATATTTTCCCCCTTTGCATCTAGGTATGTGAATTATAAATTTAGTAATTAGTATAAAGCAACCATCGGTGCAAACTTTCTTACCAAGGAAGTTCAATTTGAAGATAGGTTGTTCACATTGCAGCTGAGAGATGCAAGAACATATTTTTTTTTTTTGGGATAAAAATGTGTAGTCTTTTATAATGTGTTCTCTAGTTATGATATAATAACTGTCACTCTACTATAAACTAAGCTATTATGTTGTTCAATTTTATTATCATCTTCTATATAATCTTAATCAATTTTTCACAGCTTATCAATATGTTTGTACTAGTTTTATAGAAAACTATTTTCTCAAATTTACTAAGTGGCTCGTGGTGCTATTGAAATGAATGTAACTAGAGTGCTGTCTATTCTCAAGCATTTGAGTTTCTATTTAAACCTTAGTATTCTCAAGCTTATAATATAAATGTCTTTTCACTTGTTTTCTTTCATGCAACCCTTTTGACACTTTTATTGCATCATGGGTTTTCACTTGTACAAAACGTCTTTGCATTATCTTCCAATCTCATTTTGTAACTTACTTCTCTTCTCATGGCTTAAATTGCTTATTAACCTTCATAAAATTTATGTGTTCACTTATTTGTGATTAATAGGCTTTTTGCTATAATTGTGAGAGGATATGATTTAGGCTACTTTTTTTTTAATTTTATGTTTTTTAAGTATATCACCTTGTGTTTGGTGTTTATTTCTACATGTATTTGTTCCTTAGAACCTCTTTTGTTGCTGATTTCTAAGAAGAAAGCCAGGCATGGTGTGCTTCAAAGAGAGACATACCATACTTTGAGACCTTTGCAAAAGAAGGATTTAATGTTGAAATTGTTTTCTAGTGCATTGCAAAAAATGCACTCAACAATGAACCTGAAGAAGATATGTGAGCATTCCTGAAATCTTTAAGTTTTCTTTATGTGTGTAGTTATTAATTAATGATTTGCAATTTTTTCAGTTTAGTTAACATTTTTTAACACTATGTAACAATTTACGTGTATTCATTATAAAACTTAAGTGTGTTGTATGTTGATTGTACCAGGTACCAGGTACTTAAGTGTGGTGGCGGACGATAACAGAGATCTATTGGCTATGAATGTTAAGCGGAGAGAGTTTTCTGTAATAGCTTTATTTGCTTGTTTGATGCCAAATTCAAGTGATTATAATTAGCACTGTTATAAGATGCATATTCTACATCGGTTCTCTAAAGGCATCTATACCAGTTCTAAAACCGATGTAGAATAGAGCGACGTAAAAAATGTATACATTTTTATATCGATTCTAAAAAATTGATGTAGATTTAAGCATAAATCTACATCGATTCTCCAGAGAACCGATGTAAATTTATGCTTAAATCTACATCGGTTCTCTGAACAACCGATGTAGATTGCATTTAAAAAAAAAATCATGCTTATTTTTGGATTATTTATGATTAAATCAGGACTCAAACACTGGCCATCCTCGTTTTTATAGTCGTCTTCTATTTGAACTCCCACAAAGTATGCAACCTGAATAAACATAGAACTCAGTAACCATTGGTATGATTAATAGAGCTTGGTCCTCGAAACTACTTTCACAAAAAATTTCACCATAAAAAAAGGACCAGAATATGTTGGTCATCATTTTGCACAAGGATTCCCAGTTTAGCTTGTATAGAAGTAGAATAGAACTGGGTAATAAATCATCAAATTCAAGGCACGTAAATGTGAAGGAGAACTATCAGAGGATGCATAAAACCCACATATGAACCTGAAAGCGTCTCTTCCCAAAGTGCATGTAATGGATCCGTGACCAACTTAAATCAGCAAAGGCCCTTGCTGATTAGAAGTGTGAATTGAATTAATAGGAAAAAAAATCCACCCAATTAAATAATTTATAAATCAGCAGAACAAAGCTTTTTTCTCCGTGTCAAACACACTACATGCAGTCAGAGTCACGAACGTAACGAAAGAAACCTAAACCTTAACCACCTATTCAATCGGCCTTAAAACATTTATAGAGACTGCTTATAAGTAAATCACATTTAGGTAGCCTGATATGCAACATTGTATTCCAAAATTAGCATCTGCAGTTCAATAAAGTTTCAATGTACACTATTCTTCAGTTTAGCACAACGCAAATCTAATAGACATGGTTACAGTGTGATCAATTAAATTAATAGCTTAAAAAACTCAAAACGATTAAAAGGTATGCAGTAAATGAATAAATAATAATTAGTTGCAAGATTTGATACCCATTCCTAGTGCTGAGAGTTCAACCTCATTATGCTGTTGCATATACCTCTGAAACAAATAACAACAAAATCACACAAAATCCAACGTGGGCGCACCAATTAGAAATGGCTCATAAGTGGGAAAAGTTAAAGTGTTTGAAATCGAAAGGAAAATGGCTACCTTGGAGAGATTAACGTAGAAAAAAAGGGGCTTTTTGGTGTTGGAAACCTGAATGCGGTTTTTCTTATAAGAATCGGAGATGTTGATGTTATTCACTCCCTCGGTGATTGCTTCCATTGCTGAATGCTAAGTGACTCTGAGGCAACTCGTACAAAACAAAAGTATCAAAACCCTAACAACCAAATGTTCCCCGAAAAATCCAATTTTCCTTCTCTTGCGAAGACGGGGGAGACGCGGAAGAGCATCCAAAATGGTTCGTTCGTCTCTAACGGCTTCGCGAATTTGGAGGAGTGAGGCGCGGGAGGTGTGGGGACCCTGGAAAAGGGCGGCGGTGCGGCCGAGGACCTCACGGCGCGTGTAGCTGGTGAGCTTGAGGAAGGCGGGGCTGGCGAAGAAATATTAAATGGTGACGTGGAATAGTATTTTTCTAGT